GAGAGAACTCAGCCATGGCAGTTTTTCATTTCTCTTAGACTTTCATTTTACTAGCACACAGCACATCTACAAGGACGAGATTATTTAAGCTTCACAGTACTTGTACTAAATCCTCTTCCAACCTCACATCAATCTACATGCTTGAATTTTAATGGCAACAACGATGGTGGGAATGTAACAGCTATCACTTTAAAAGTGAAGTGGCAGGGAAAGTGACTTGCAAAGATGCTATGTAAGGTTTGAGTCATTTAATTGGACAAATGATGCAATTGCTAACATTGCCTAATGTATAGTTAATCAGTCATTCATGTACATAGCATGCTATGTAATGTATATAACTCTAAATAGCTCATGTTCTGTATAAAACCATTTGAGATTAGTGCATTTGTTTTTGAGGGAAGCCACAAAAGAAAACCAAAAGCCTACAAAAAAGAAAGAGGAGGGAGGGAATTTCACACCACCCAATGCATTTAGTGGAAACTTCCTACACTTACAAACCAGTATTAGGGAAGAAAAGAAAAAGAATCCACGCTGATACACAGAAACCTGACAACTAAAAGATGTGCACTCTCGTCTCCTTGAAAATATGCTTCAAGCAAGATCCTTGGCAAAAGTGAGGGACTTGAAGATGGTTGGTTGAGTTGACCGCTCACAGATGTGCTGACATATGGAAGCCAGTGCCAATGCGATACAACCTGTTGTACAGTGTCAGCAGGATAATGACAGAACAGGTTGAACCCCTGCTAATGGCCATAAGTGGTGAAGGACAACTGTGACATCTACACACATACTACTTATCTAGCCTCTCCTTACTCAGCTGGAGACCAGTTATAACTGCTTGACTGTCAGTTAAAGAAATAATACTCATGATAATCTACTTCCTAGAATGTTTTAATAACAAAAACTACGTAACAATTTTTAAAAGGAGAAAAAAAAACAAACAAAAAAAATAGTCATCTAAGCATTAATACTTTTAATTCCTATCTTACATTCATTTGAGGGAAATTAAGCTATGCTTCAAAAGCAAAACTGGGATACAATTAAAGTCATTCAATCATACTGCACAGAACTCCCATACCTCTACTGTATCTAATAAAAATCCTCTCCAAAATCATCCTTTCAATAATTTACTGTCTTTGATTAGAAGATAGCACAATACGTTGGAAAACTTCAGAAACAGTAAGTGTTTGGAAGAGAAAACAGAACATACTACTTGATTTTCTCCAGTAGTGCAAAATGCAGAGGAACCCCTATAATATTGCAGTGCACCTCAGAGAAGCAAAGAAAAGTTTACCCAACATTAGCCTGAAGGAATAGGTTTTGCTTATCGGCAGATGCAGACACTAATCTCTCAAGACTGAGCAGTTACTAATGAAAGTTACAAACAAAAAAAAGATGCAAAGGACCAGTTTATAAAAGTTACCACAATTCACAAGACTTACCTTTCCCAGTTACAATATCAAATACCTATTCACTGACATTACAGAATAGCTAGAAGAGAATGAAAAGTTTTGTTCTTCCTAAAGCAACAGTTCTCTTTATTGATCCCAAGTTATATGCAGCACTGTGACAGAAAAGAGATAGAAAACCTCACAGTGTGATTAATCTTATCTCAAACCTGCCCACAGACATAAGAGCTCAGCCATCACAAGGCACTTGGTAAGAAAAAGCCCAACCAAACATGGGCTTGCCCCTACATGTAACGAAAAAATAGCACCAGACTTGCCTGACCTATCTTGATGGCACAGACAGACAGCATTTAGCTCTCCTTTGGGTGTGCTGGCTCGTTTCTTTCATCTTTTTCTGTCTCACCTTCCCCCAAAAAAGAAAAAGAAGCACCACCACTTTCTTGCAATGCACCAGACCTCTGGTACCTGTGCAAAAAGCACTTGTTAAACATAGCTCTGAAAGGATACAATAACTGACATGATGCTACAAGAGAGCCAATTCCAACTTGACAATCAGAGGGAAAATACAACTCTCTCATACCAAGTAATGGAAATACCTGTCTGGGGAAATTTCTTCCTATCAGCTGTTAGACAATTGAAGGCCTTGCATCCCTATAAAAAATGTTTTCTCTTTATGTGGATGTCCAATTCTTCTTTCTTTAAGTCTTGCTAGGATTTTTCAGCAGAAGTCTGTGATAGAAAGTTCCTCAGATTAGCTCTATAAAATGTCTAAAAAAATCCCTTTTCCCCTGGCTCTAAATCTGTTGCATTTCAGTTTCACAGACAGCTCCTTAAACTCTTAAGAGAGCAGTTAAATAAGCACGGCTAATTCATCTTCTATTATTTATTGTCTTCTCTCGCTGTCATGCCTCTTTTTCATGTCCTCTCCTGTCTAAACTCCCATCATCAAAGTCCCTCTTTACATGAAGGCTTCCTATTTTTGTTAGCTCATAAAGTTTTTCCCTAAAGCTCCGACCTGGCTTTATCTTGTAATGCTCTATTCCAGTTAACACGAACATTGCTACTGAGGATACACTTCCAATATACTTCATGAAATTACTGGTTTTCTCCTTCACTGCATCTACAAGCATTGCTTACACAGCTCACCAATACCACACACACTGCAAATACTTGTGTTGTCCAAAATGCTGCACAGGTCTCCTCTGGAGTGGAAGAAGAGAACACAAAACTCAGGAACAAGTGCAGATGATGCCTGCCAATGCACACTACTTACATATGCCATTCACTCATCAACATCCAGCTTTGTTAACTTGTACCTAAACTAAGGAAACTGTGACACAGCCAACTGAAATAAAGATGTGCCATCTCTCAGCTGCACAGAGAAGATTCAATCTCCTCTGTCAGGGAGCTCCTGAACATAAC